CTCTCCCCATCCCCAGAGCAAACAGCTGGGCAGGTGGGAGTCTGGCAATCCGTGGGGGAACAGGAAGGGGCTCAGCACACAGGCAGGGTGGTGGGTGCTGCCAGCCTGCTGGTCCTGCAAGGAGGGAATGAACTGGGTCCCGTGGTGTAATCCTGGATCCCACAACACATACACCCACACAGCCAAGGTGTTTAGCCCTAGCTCTGAAGTAGGAGGAAAAGGAAGATGAGAAAGGGGCAGCCTTTAAGGCTGTGCTGCTGCTCGCTTCCACAGGGTGGTGAGGCAGGACAACGTCTGAGCTCGTGGGCACCTAAAAATTTTAAGGTGACCCGTTCAACCAACGCCCACTGGGCTGACATGGGGGAAGAGCCAGCCGAGAGCCCCGGGAACAGTAATATTTTTGCCTGCTGCAGCTGCCTTAGTAATTTTCCACACAGAGAGAAGGAACAGAGAGAGTTCTCAAATCTCATATAGCCTGAAAACTTCTATATATCTTTCCTGCTTAAAGCTATTTGAAATGACCAGGAACCTACAGATATTGCAGTCCTTTCCCCTGGCAAAGATCTGGAGCACTGCCAAAGGAAATAGTCCTGCACTCAGTTTCCCTGATCCTAGTGCCCTTTAGGTGAACATCAGCTCTGCTCCTGCCCTTTTCCTTGACCTGCAGCATCTCCCATTGCTTCAGAGCAGACCTCCCCTGCACAGCCATTCCCAGCACCAGTGTCCTGTGGATGCCAAGACAGAGGGCACTTTGTGGCCCTTTCCTCAATTGCCCTCACATGGTTGGCCATCATACATGTGCCTAGCAGGGTTACCCAGCCAGCTGCTCACTCTTGAAATTTCACTTCTTCACAGCTCTTTGCCTGCTGGCAACACTCACTGCTCCCATAATACTCACTCTACAAGTATTTGCCAGCCTTTTTACAGCAAGGACACCTGGCCAACCAGCCCCCTTACAAGTGGCTGGGAAGTGGGAAAAATCCAGCTGTGAACTTGGTGATCACACAAGCACTGAAGCTCCAGGTGTAACCTCATGTCTAAATCGTTCTGGCACTGTAACACTGTTACGAAGAGGGCAGCAGGATGGCTCTGGCACCTGCCCGTGTGTCTCTAATAGATCACTCATGGAAACTTAACTCTGGGAAGTGGAACAGCTCTGTCATCTTCTACTGGCAAACATGAGCTGTGCAGTTGGTCCTGGTTATTTCTCATGCTGCTGGAATAGGCCCCTCGTTCCCAACCTAGGGCACAAGGGTGTAACAGTACACAGAGTGAGCTGCAGATGATCCTTTCTCTGGACACTTCTCTGGCTGCATTTCTAACTCCATGTAAAATGATCACTCCAGACAGATATTCTTGACACTTCAAGGACCAACATCTTTCCAGATACTGTCTCAAAGGAACAACACTTATCCCAAGAACTGACTGTCAAAGAGACTGGCAGTACTGCGTCAGGGCACACACATTGCCCTGTTTGCACTTGTATCTGCAGAAACCAGGCATAGATTTTTCGAACATGTAATTTTTCTGGAGTTGCAGAAAGGCAGATTATAGCTAAAAGCATCCTCAGTTCCAAAAAGCATGCCTTGTTCCAGCAGGATCTTCCCTCTTTTACATAGACAGAGCTGGCAGAAACTTGTCATTTTACCTTCAGGAGATATGTTCAAAAACCTTGCAGAAGGAAAACATCATTTTAAAATGTGCTTAAGGATTAGTGATAGAAGAGGTTTCCAAAAGAGAATTTACTCTGAGGGAGTTGGCAGGGATTGTCTGAGCTGATGTGATTCCTGACAGTTTCACTGCCTGCTCTTCCAAGCTGAGAATGGGTCAAATTGTAGAGTCATCCCGATTTTTGTACATTTTCTTCCTAACCAGTCAGGCAGCTGGTAATTGGATCATCTGAAGCCCAGAGGATGAAGGAGGTACCCATTATCAGATACACATTAGAACTGGGAGGAGGCAGAGTACAGGGAGGACAGAATACACATTAGAACTGGGAGGAGGCAGAGGACAAGGAGGACAGATGTAAAGTGGCAGAGGCAGGTAGAAGAACAGCATAAATGCTGAATGTCAGGCACAGAGATGTCAGTGTAGGCAAGAAGTAGGCAAAGAGTAACAGCAGGAGATGAGGGGTGAAACACTACTATGAATGGGCACTAAGATACTACTCAGGCACTGCTGTTCTTCAATGTTTCCTTTTTCTGGATGCCTTGGGCTGGCCAGAGGTGGAAGCTTTGGGACTTGAGCAGGCCCTGACTTCTGAGATGCTTTCTTGGACACATTTTTTTCTGAAAGAAAAGCAAAACAACAAACCAAAGCCATTAAAAATACCACAGAGTTAAAATGTGCCCAAGGTATCACATCCTTAACAAACAAATTAGCCTCTCCTCCTGCTTTGATGTCAAAGAGGATATGCTGAAGAACTAAGGGAAGAAATTTTAATTCCCATTCTGGCTCCTTCTCCACTTTTTATATCTTGTGGATCTAGCTGAGAAAGGACACGAGGAAATGCTTTAATTCACAACAAACTTGTGAGCTTAAGAACTCACTGCCACACTGTATGGGCAAGACCCTTAGGTCAGGAGTGTGCAGATACCTCCAGGAGAGAGCAAGAGTGCCCTGTGCTATAAACACAAAAGGTCTGTGGCCTCTGAGAGTGAAGGGACCTGGAACATTATTTCTTTCCTGCTCCAAAATCAGTGATCCTAAACAGATCTTTTTTTGCCTGTAAACAGGGAACACTCACTAGGAAGATGACACCAATCACAGTGATCTCCTAGATACAGACCCTGTGTCATGTGTCAGAATCAAACAAAATTACTTTGGCTCAAAACCAGACCACATTCAGCAGTTCTTTCTACCCTGCTCTAGATTGAGGTTAAAGGCCTCCTTGCATGGACTCTGGCAGAGCTGAGGCAAAACCCTAGGATGTGCCCAGGAGGAGAGAGTTCTGCACTAACAGGAGATGAGTGAGGTGTCCTCAAAGACTCCTTCACTCTCTGAGGCTGGGAAAGGGTTCACAATATTGATTCTCCTGACCTTGCCCTTCTTTATGTGTTGCTTCTGGGATGACTTTCCTGTCTTTCTCCAGCTCTTTGATTCTCTGCAGAGCTTCTTCAGCTTCTCTTGAAGACCTTCAGGTCTTTCCTCTGCATTCAAAGCACGGAGCTCTGTTTCTCTGAAACACAGCAGCTAATGCTAAAACCTGAAATCTAAGCAGCTGCTGGCAGGATGCCCAAAAGAAAGATTTACAGAGCTAAAGTGTCCACTGGGATTGACAGACTCTATAAAACACATTTCTGGTTTCAGAGCAGGGCATTGTTAGAAGATCTATAAAGGACTTCACGGCACATCTATGTAAACCCTGCAAATTTAATTAATTTAAGTTTGCTAGCAAAGGGTGAGATGCTGATCTTCATTGTGCAAGGATAAATACAGTCAGTTCTATTAGCAAGGCTAATGAATGGGGTTTCCCTGGATAATGCAAGTTCACAGACAAAACAAGCATGAGGGAATGCAGTTCAGAGAGCCCAAGTTTAAGCATGGAAGAAGTCATTACCAAACACAAACCTTGCTGTGATTCTGCATGGAGACACTGGGGTGTCTCTTCAATGTGTTCCCCACACAACATCACTCGGCTCTGGGGTCAAGTTCAGAGCCAATGCAAACAAACTGCCCCAGCCAATAAATCTGAATCCATTTCCTCATCATCTGAATCGAACCTGTTTTTTATGGAAATAGATCAACAGCAGACCACTCATCTGTACAAAACACTTCATTGTCACAGGCAGCCTCAAACATCCTTCCAGCCACATAAGGAATTAAACCAGAAGCTCAGCCTGATCTCCTGGGCAAGGAGGATTCCAGCACAAATCCACCCCAATGGGTGAAGCAGAGGTCATCATGCACCATGGGGAACTAATCTGCCACTGGGGTAAAATCTGCTAGCTCCACTGAAGCTCTGGTTTTGCCTTAGACTCATGCATAGCCCATTCAAGCACAGATGTTAACACATTTTATAGCAGCCCTGGCACCAAGCAGGCACTAAGGTTCTCTTCATGTGTTCCTGACTTACCAAGCACAGATGTTAACACATTTTATAGTAGCCCTGGCACCAAGCAGGCACTAAGGCTCTCTTCATGTGTTCCTGACTTAGTAGGCTCCCTATAGATTCCAGTGAGGCCCATTTAAAATCTGCAAAAAGATCCAAGGACAACCAAATCGATGAGATCTCTTGTTATGATCAATCTCAGCACACAACACACTTTTTGTTGAGAAAACCCCCTTAGATGAAACTGAAAACCTCTGTTGGTACCTGCCCATGGTTCCAGTGAGGCTGTCCAACACCACAACCAGCCCTTTGGCTCTGTGCTGCAGCTTATGTGCCCTCAGAAGTCTGAGCTCCTCATTCATCTGTGTCTGACTCAGTGTGGCCAGGGACACTCACAGGACAAGCTGCTGCCAC